TGTGTGTGTGTGTGTGTGTGTGTGTATGTGCATGTGTATGTATTCATATGTTTAAAAAACAAACGGTGTTTGTTAGCATAATGGACAGATTGTAGAGTATCTTCATTATTATATTCTCGATATGGTGAATATATGGGATATTATTGGTGATATTCTACATTTAGTGTAGAATATTGTGTAGCATTAGTTGTTGAATGTAGGAAGAATATATTATAGGATTTACATTTAGTATAGGATATTTTACTTCCTTTCATCTCTTATTTCTCTTGTGTATAAATACCAATATATTTGATGTATTTGAATAAAGTAATTGAGATAGTCGTTCTTCAGTTTCTTTCATACTTTCTCTGTTCTTGACTGTAAGGCCACGTAAAATTTCATAAAGGAATTTAAGATTTCGTGGTGTCGAGGTAGGATTATGTTTTTGAGGATTGTAGAAGCTCGCCGCGGTACAGACATTTTGGGTTGAAGAATGCACTAAATTGTTGATGGAAATTTTTGGAAAGAGAAGGCGATTCTGCGGTCAAATTTGCGACCGAAGAATAGGTTTGTGGGCCGCATATCCATCGCGGAGTTGAGCAGAGAGTTGTTGAATTTTGAAGTTTGTTTTGCGCCCATTATGCGGTCGCATATCCATTCTGTGGCAGCATAAGTAGTCTGCGGATGGTAGAACGATCGTAGACCTGACCAGTCTAGCCCAAATTTTTAGGACCATTTTACGGTCCAAGTTTGTGGACCGTAGGCGTGATCTGCGGTGCATTTTGTGACCGAAGAGTTGAGATCGGATAGTCCATTTTTTTATTTTTAAAACCCGACCCGAATCAAGGGAAGGGAAGAATGAGACCATAATTTGGAAGTCACCCCCGACCGAGACCTAGATAGCAACCTAACCGAGTACTAAATAATTGAGAAAGGGAAGACCCCCCCAGAGCCAGAACATTGGCGCCGACATTTTGATAAATAGCCTTTGGGCCTTATTTTGGGGCGACCATCTGATGATTTTAGAGAGAAGTAAGAGCATTTTAGAGAGAGAAGGAGGAAACCTAGCATTCTAATCATTCATTCTTTCCCCAATCTTCAAGAATCAAGGAAGCCAATCACAAGATCTTTTTCTATTCAGTAAGGTTCCATACCCGCAATGAAACACTATAAACAACGGTTTGCAACAATAAGCAAATTGATAGAAATACTGTAGAGTAAGCTGGACACAGTCCGAGTCCAATGAGACCAAATAAAGGAAAACAAGTAACAACTCAACAAAAACAACCGGTTTTGCACCAGATCTATTCAGAAATTTCATTGAGGTACCAAACCTCATAATCACAAATCATGGCTCCCAATTCTTGAACCCTAATCATTTGGCCTCTTATTCCCGCATTACAAATTCATAATTGCACGGTCGACTCACGTGCCAAGAGAGTGACAATATCTAATATTCGCACGGACTGCTCACGTGCCAATAATAATAATGACTCATGATTGCACAGTCAACTCACATGCCAACAGTATAACTCTCACATAGAAAGCAAGTACACAAGAGTACATGTAAATGGTCAATAACATTAAGATTCATCTTCCTAACCGATATGGGTGATTTATTTGCGTGTATGCTTGTGCAAGTGTTCTACCACAATTCAAGTCACTGAGTAAGTGTAGAGAGAATGAATGGCACATAAGAAACGATCACCATGAAATGTACATGGTATAACTCACACAGGGTAGACACACCACTACAAAAATAACAACAATAACAATGCCCCCAGGCCATCACAAGTCAGCACAAATCATTTTCCAATATAGCCCACCTTGTCTCGCCACGTGCGCTATAACAAAGTAAATGCCGGCTTTGTCTCGTCGCACGTGTATAATAAAATTCCCACATTGTCTTGCCACATGTGCAAACCCATATATATAGCCCGCATTGTCACGCCGCATGTGCATATATCAATACTAATAATAGCACGACAGAAACCTCGTGCAACACAATAACAATCGCACGATAGAAAGAGGTAAACAACAGGGGCTCTCCCTAGATAACGCCTCGTGGCCCCAAAAGTAAATATGCAACAAGGGCGCTCTCGAGGTACCGCCTTGTAGTCCCAAATGTAAATATGCAACAGAGGCGCTCTCGAGGTATGATGAGTGTAGACATGTAATTTTTGACCCTCCCCGAGATTTTATATATTTTAGCATTTAAATATTTAGTTTAGGCCTATGTAAGGCCCCGTGAAATTTCTACTCAAAAACCCGAGTCTTGTGGTGCCAAGTTAGGATCATGTGTTAGAAAAGCTTGCCGCGGTTTGGACCTTTTGGATTGATCTGTACGTTAGAAAGTTAAGAAATTATGTTTTCCAGAAAATGTGCGATTCTGCGGTCCATTATGCGGTCGCATAATAGGTATGCGGACCGCATATTCGCCGTAGAACCAGTCAGTGTGTTGGTCAATTTGAGGTCAACTATGCGACCAATTATGCGATCGCATAATCGGTATGCGGGACGCATAGTCCTCGCATAATTCCCTTGAAATTTTTGTGAAGGCAGTTCTGCAGTGCATTATGCGACCGTAGAACAAGTATGCGTACCGCATTTCCGTCTCATACCTGGGCAGTGTGTTCAGTTTTTGGGACTATTTTTGCAGTCCATTTTGTGGGCCGCATGTTAGATATGCGATCGCAGATCTGAGTCGGGGCTCCTATTTTCTAATTTTTAAAACCCGACCTTCTCTATGTTATTTTTACTAAGATAGAGTGAGAAAAGGAGTTCTAGAGAGAGAGATAGAGAGTGACCTTCATCCAATCCCCACCTAACTCTCACCCCAAAATCGTGAAGATTGGCAAGAAAGGTGCTAGGTCTTGACCCTAAAAAGGTAAGAACTTGTTCCATAATCTGTAATTTTGAACTTTCTATTTAAAATAAGGGATTAACAATTGAGTTCTTGGGGAAAATGGCTAAAAATTTTGCATGCATAAGAAATAATGGGGTATGGAGAGGATGAGACTAAAGAGACAACAATTGAAGTATAACATTGAAGAAATCTCTTTCAAAAAGGGACCTAAGATCACCATGCTCACTTGGTGCTTGATAGTATACCTGAACGAGCTAAAATCTTAACCATATCACTAATTCTTGGTTCGATTTATAATTCTTATATTATAGATTGAAGTGCTAAGAGTCCTGAAATTTTGTAAGAATTAAGGAAAGCTTAAACAATATATGTATGGCTAAAACCTCGTCTTTTAGAAATCGAGCTCCGTCGGTGTTTGCTATGGTAAGCCTAAACTTGAATTGTTGTATGGATTGTTGTTTCACATGAATTTAGGGTTACAACTTTATATGCGTGAAAGATGTGTCTCAATATGATAAATGTGTTATTCTTGATAACATGAAAGGCTGCCAGGAATATGAATCATGTACTGAAATGCTTAGACCTTAAGTTGAGATTGAAGCTGTATATGTTGTGTCCTCTATGTGAAGTCTCATCTACACTTTTAACTTTCTTTTCTCTTGTGTGCACATATTATGCTAAATTACCAGTCTAACATTGAAATTAGGAACGATGTGAAATGTGGCCTAGTGCCAAATATATGACGTGATAGCTGTGGCCCCAAGTGCCTATGAAATGATATATATGATATAACGATTGAATTGAGATTGATTGATGGAAAAGGGAAACGCCATGGTAAGGCGGATTAGCCGATCGGGCCGAGATCGGACGCCATGCCGCACACATGGTGGTATTATGATGATATTGAACCCTGGATAAAAAGGAAAAAATGAGATTGTGATTGAAATGTATGTCTCAAATAAGGCAACCTAGCCGATCGGGTCGAGATCGGACTCCGCTCAATCTAGCGGTGGTATAGTGAACAATGATGAACAGTATGAAATGCCCCAAACTAAAGGCTATGAAAACATAATGTGAAAATTGTATGATTCTTTTACATTGATAATGTTGTGATCGTTTAAAGCTAAGTTATGCTTGTGCCTTCATTATATTTGGTATAAAAAGTTTTTTCTAACTAGATGGTGTTTAATTATACATACTAGTACTATTCCATGGTACTAACGTCCCTTTTGCCGGGGGCGCTACATTTTTAAATGAATGATCCATTGCAGATAGTGTTGATCGCGCGTAGTGGAGTACCTTCTTCTCAAAGTATTGGTGAACCCCTTTCTCCTTCAAGGGGGGTTACATTGCACATCTTTTGTTGTGGACTTCCACTTTTGAGGTATAGCCGGAGCCTTGTTGCCGGCATTGTCATACTTGTCTTTTACATCTTTAGAGGCTCCGTAGACATGTGTGTGGGCTATGTACGGGTCTTGGATGAGTCTACGAACTATGTTGTAATTCTAACTCTCGCTTCTCTAAAGTGTAATTGTATGGAATCTTGGAAACTTAACTACGGCTTAATGTTGTGATATAAAATGAACTAACAATGTTGAATGTACTATCTTTCCTTATCTACATAAATGAAAGCATGATTTCCTTATTCATATTGAGTTGGGTAGGAAGTGTTGGATAAGGCTTGCTCAGTTGGGTTCACTCGACCGAGCGTCGGTCGCGCCTCCCGAGGTTGGGGCGTGACAGCCTAATATCACTATTTTAATTAGTTTTTGACTCTTTTACTTCATTTGTCACAAAAATAAAAATTACAAAAAATATTTTCTTTATTTAGGTAATTGATATTTTGTCTTGTTACTTTCAGTTTATTTACCTTTCATAAAATTTAAAAATATAAAAATAGTTTTATTTGTTATCTCAATGTGTAATTTTAGTATTTTTGCATTATAGTTATTTACTTAACTAGCATGAATTAGTAACAATCGTATTTTTAATTTGTTCTTTAGAAAAGAAGAAAAAACCAAATTAATTTTAAGATGGACATGATCTTGATTTTAAAATCAAAAGACGGTCCAAAAAAGAGTCATTCAAAAGTTAGTCCAAAATTTTGTCAAGCCCAATTTCTTTCTTCTCCAATCCATAAGCCCATACCGCCCTAAGCTAAAGACCCCTTCATCTCCACATTAAAAGAAAAAAAACCTAGAAGACCTAAAAAAAAGGAGATCAGCCGCAGAAACAAAAAAAAAGACCACCACCCATGCCGTTCTTCTTCGTTTCATAATCTAAGAACACTTCTGTTCTTCTTCAACACCAACGACACGCCCTCCCTGAACTTCTTCTTCTCCAAGCCTAAAACTCCAATAAGATCCCCTGATCTCTCAGGCACAAACCAACAGAAGCAGCCGTGATTTCAACCCAAGAACACCCCCTAGACCTTTCTTCCCCATCTTCACAAAATCAAAAAAAAAAAAAAAAAAAAAAAAAAAGAACCCTAAAAGATATCCAGCCCGTCTTCCTCACCATAACTCCGGTGACCAAGCGTACACAGCAGCCCCCCGTTGCCGTCTCTCACCAGACCCAACCCAGCTCGCCGGAAAAACGCCAACGACCACCCGCCGGAAACCAGCAACAGTGATACGCAGCAGAAATCAACCACCTATTTTTAAAAACAAACCAATTAGATCTGAAAACCAAGAAAAGGTTTCTGAAAATCTCAATTTCCAAGAGGTTTTTGAGTCGAAATTTGCTGCTCGATTGTTGAGGTTTTCCGGACCCGTGCGATTTCAGTCGAGGTTTTTCGGTCCGAGTTTCCACACTACAGCTGCTGTAATTGGAAAATATGTCCCCTTTGAGGTCAATTTCTTTCTAATCTTAAATTTCCTCTCTGTTTCCAAGATATTAAGTTTTGACGATTATGAATGCCGTGTAGTTATGCGTGTTTCGTTGCTTGTCTGAGACTCTCTTGATTTGGTCCATTTATGTCGAAGTTTTCATTGATGCAATCATGTACATGTGTAATAGCTATTTTTGTTTTGGTTGGTTTATTTGTGTTTGTGAATTGGTGAAGAAGACTACTACTGTCTCCGCCGCTGGTAGTGAGGACTGTGGTGGAGTTCCAATTAATATTTAAACTAATATGTGTGCCCATTTCTTGTCACTTTCTCAAAATAAAAAAAGAAGAAAAATTAAGTGGTGAAATTAATGGACTAACCCTTTCTTTATTTTTAATTAATAAATTTGATGAACCATCTGTCAAGGGGAAATTGTTGACTCATTTCCAATTTTTGTTACTATTATAAGTTTCCTTTTGTACCAACTCTATTTCAAGTTACTTTATTGTTAAATCTCTCGTCTGATGCCACTAGTCTTTCGAATTAGATCATTGAATTAATGGTATATTATGTGAATGGGAGCTTAGGACTAGGAGGATCAAATTCATTTTCTCTGGCGGGCGTTGATGTTCTAGTATCTCTAGTAGTTTTTCTGAATGGTTAAAGATCTACCAATTTTGGGTTGCGACATACGTGAGTGGGCAAACTTTTTGGCGTGATTAATAATGAATCGTCGAGATTATGGGTACGGTTTCCTTGGCATTATCAAGATACGTAAATCTCAATTCAGGTGTGCATTTTATGTGACCCGACCATAATTTTGAATAATAATAATAATAAAATAAACATATCGTGAATCGCGGGTGCATTTTATGTAGCGTGGTTTACAATGTGTACGATGATCATGAATTATCCTAACATTAAAAGCGGTTGCAAAGTTAAAAATGCACGCAGGTTTAAAATGTGTAATTAATCGGATAATTAAGCCAATAATAATAGTTGAGCGGCCGTGCTAAAATCACAGAACTCGGGAATGCTTAACACCTTCTTTCGAGTTAACATAATTCTTTACTCGGATTTCTGTGTTTTGCGGACTGTAGAACAGAGTCAAACTTCCTCGATTCAGAATTTTAAACCGGTGACATGAGACGCCATAAATTATCCCAAGTGGCGACTCTGAATTTTAAATAAATAATCATGTTTCGATTATTATCACTTTAATTGGAAAAACTCATCTATACCCCTTCTAGGGTAGAAAAAGGAGCTGTCACACCTCTTTTTCTACACCGAAGGGGGTATAAGTGAGTTTTTCCAATTAAAGTGACAATAACCAAAACGGGATTATTTATATCAAATACAGAGTCGCCACTTGGGATATTTTATGGTGTCCCAAGTCACCGATTTAAAATCCCGCATCGAGGAAGTTGACTCTTATTTATGGTTTACGAATACAGAAATTCGGGTAAAGAATTCTGTTAACCGGGAGAAGGTGTTAGACATTCCTGAGTTCCGTTGTTTTAGAACGGTCGCTCAACTATTATTATTGGCATAATTATCTGATTAATTACACATTTTAAACCTACGTGCATTTTTAACTTTCTAACAGCTTTTAATGTTTTTAGGAAAATTCATGATCATCATACACTTGCTTATTTTTGAAAACGCATCATAAATCACGCTACATGAAATGCACTCGCGGTTCACGACATGTTTAATTTATTTAAAATTATTGGAAATTGAAGTCGGGTCACATAAAATGTACATCCGAATTTGAAAATTATATATCACGACTACATCCCGGGAATCGTACCCGTAGCTATGATGATTTATATTATAACGCGCTTAAAGCAAGCTACAAGATTGTTAATGAATACTACAAAAATTTTTATGGACTAATAAAAGTGAGCAATAAACCAGACAACGAATCAAACGTTAATTATTGCAAACATAGAGTGAGATAGAAGAAAGAATGGACCTCAAAAGCTTTGAATCGCAAAACTCATTAACTGGATGGGACCTTGACCGGAAAACTTCAGCGGCGCCGGAAACTTGAACGGAAATTGACAACCCGAAACACCTCGAGTCGAACTCCGAACCAAAATTGATCTCCATTTTCATACTTGAAAACCAAAATTCAAAACCCAAATGAAAAAAAAAACAGAAACGTCTATATCCATATACGTATATGCACATTTTTATCTTTTTCTGAAATTTAAACAAACATTGAAAACCATAAAAATGAGCCGCTGAATCCTTCGCTTTGAAACTCAATTTTCATCCCATGTTTCTATCCTGAATTTTCTCAACGACTCTGTACGTTCTCTGCCTCTATTTCGTTCCCCCTCCCCTCTGTTTTCGACTCTCTATCTCTGTTCTTTTCTACCTTCGACGTCTGTTGCTGCTAGCTGGAGGGTGGTCGCTGGTGGCTGTTGGTATGGGAGATAGGTGAGAGTGGTGTGTAGATGAAGAAGATTAAGAGAGGTACGACTGGTTATGGAGATGGCAGAAGCGGGTGATGAGGGTGGTCATGTGGCAGTGAGGTTTTGGAGATGAGTGGTTGCTGGTTCTGTTGCTGGCAGCGTCGCCAGGAGAGGAGCGAGTTGGTGAGGGAGATGGACTGCTGCTTGGAGAGGATGACGGCTGGATCTGGTCTTGGTTGTTCTTCTCTAGGGTTTGTGTTAAGAAAGATAAAGGAGCTGAAGGTTGTTTAGGGTTTTTTTTTTCTTGTGTTGTGAAGGGTCCCCATGAAGAAGAAGAGTCCTTAGGTTAAAAAAATGGATGGTCCTTCCCTTTTTAAAAAAATCTGATCTCTATTATAGAAAATGGGTCAAATTAGGTCTTAGGGTTAGGTTAGTGGGTATTGGACTAAGGATAATTGGGCTTGGATTTAGGAAATTGGGTTGGACCATGTCTTTTGAGTTTGAATCTAGGCTAAGAATACCAAATAACAATGTACCTATAAAGTATAAAAATCACTCTTAATTAAAATAAGCTAATATAAAACTAAATACTAAAAGCGAAACTATTTTTTTTATATTTTTAATTTTATGAAAGGTAAATAAACCAAAAATAACTAAATAAAATATGAATTAGCCAAATAAGAGAAACTAGTTTTGTAATTTTTATTTTTGTGATAAAATAAAGTAAACGGGTCAAAACTAGTTAAAATAGCGATATTATATCTAAACTAGATATTTAAACGCTAAAATGTATGAAATCTCGGGGAGGGTCAAAAATGACATGTCTACAGCTGCCCTTCTTTAACTGGAAACACGAAGAGTTGTCAGACAAAGAATGACGAGACAGGTTTTTGACCCGACCCTTATTTAGAGAGACCAAAACTAAAAGAGAGGAGAATGTCACCGAGCCTTGGTATCTGAGCTGCCTACATCTCCTTGGCTATAAATGAATCAGGCCACGTGTAGTTCAGAAGTAGGAATAGTGATAGAGTATACCGAGGTGGAGAGCCGATTGAGGTGTCGTTCTGTCGATGTTCCGGTCCGCGGTCCTGTTATTACATTAAAAATCAAGATTAAAAAGACTAACTAAGCCTATTAGCTACGAGTTACAAGATCCCGATCTATGAGTCTTCTGAAGCTTGATCTTGAGTCTTGGTTGGTTCTTCGTGCGGACTCTGATCTGAATCTTGATGCTTGTTAGCTGCAGGTGTTAGTTCATTCTTCCACGGCTTCTTCGGATCAAGAGCCGACATGCAGTGCTCGTGACTTCAGTCATGTCTTGAGCAACTCACATCTTTCATCTGCTTCTGCATTTGGATTCACTTCCCTCTTTTTTCTTTTCTTTCTTTTTTCTTGGATTGAGACTTCTTCTTTGGTCATCTCAAACCTCCGTGCCTCGAGGTAAAAACCTTATTCTTCAGGCAACTCGTGCTACCTCTGATTTGAAATTTGAAATGAATTCTGAAATGACTTCCCCCATTCTCCAGGTGGGTGCCTGCTACTAACTGGAAACTTGAAATAAATTCCCTCATTCTCCAGGTGGGCGCCTGCAGCTTACATGAAACTTAAAATGACTCTGAATTGAATTATGAAATGACTTCCCTCATTCTCCAGGTGGGGCGCCTGCTAATGACTTAAAACTAGAAATGAATTCCCTTGTTCTCAAGGTGAGTGCCTGCAACTGACTTAAAACTCGAATAAATTCCATTGTTCTCCAGGTAGGCACCTGTAACTTAAACTTGAAATGAATTCCCTTGTTCTCCAGGTGGGCGCCTGATGCTGACTTAAAATTTGAAATAGATTCCCTTGTTCTCCAAGTGGGCGCCTGATGCTAAAACTTGAAGTGAATTCCCTTGTTCTCTAGGTGGGCGCCTAATGCTGACATAATATTTGAATTAAATTCCTTTGTTCTCCAGGGGGCGCCTGCAACTTAAACTTGAAATGAATTCCCTTGTTCTCCAGGTGGGCGCCTGATGCTGACTTAGAATTTGAAATAAATTCTCTTGTTCTCCAGGTGGACACCTGCAACTTAAACTTGAAATGAATACCCTTGGTCTTCAGATGGGCGCCTGATGCTGACTTAAAATTTGAAATAAATTCTCTTGTTCTCCAGGTGGACGCCTGCAACTTAAACTTGAAATGAATTCCTTTGTTCTCCAGGTGGGCGCCTGATGCTGACTTAAAATTTGAAATAAATTCTCTTGTTCTCCATGTGGGCGCCTGATGCTGACTTAGAATTTGAAATAAATTTCCTTGTTCTCCAGGGGGCGCCTGCAACTTAAACTTGAAATGAATTTCTTTGTTCTCCAGGTGGGCGCATGATGCTGACTTAATATTTGAAGTAAATTCCCTTGTTCTCCAGGTGGGTGCCTGCAACTTAAACTTGAAATGAATTCCCTTGTTCTCCAGGTGGGCGCCTGATGCTGACTTAGAATTTGAAATAAATTCTCTTGTTCTCCAGGTGGGCGCCTGCAACTTAAACTTAAATCCCATTATCCTGGAGGGTCCAGAAAACTTGAACTTAAATCCCATTATCCAGGAGGCCCCTGAACTTAAGGAAAGCTAAAAACTCTTTGTGACGACCCAAAAGGTCATCACTTGTTTTAAAAGTAAATACTGCATTTCGAGGCCTTAAAAACCTCTTTCTGTCTCATCTCATTTTGTGTGTGCAGTCCGGGCGCGTAGCCGGAAAGCCAATATGTAAAAATCTATGAAAAATGATAAATTTTGAATATAAAATGAATTAAGTTGACTTCGGTCAACATTTTCGATAAACGGACCCGGACTCATGATTTGACGGTCCCGGAGGGTCCGTAGGAAAATATGGGACTTGGGCGTATGCCCGGAATTGAATTCCGAGGTCCCAAGCCCGAGAAATGAATTTTTAAAGAAAATTGTTTTCTAAGATTATTTATGAGATTTGGAAATAAATTGTGATTAGAACTTGATGGTATCAGGCCCGTATTTTGGTTTCGGCGCCCGATACAGGTCTTATATGTGATTTAAGATAAGTTTGTGAAATTTGGTAAGAAATGGACTTGAAACGGCGTGAATCAGATTGTTTTTGAGAAAATTGAAAATTTGAAGTTCTCAAGAAAATTTCATGATATTGATGCAAATTCATATTTGATGTTATTTTAGTGATTTGAATGCACGAGCAAGTCCATATGATGTTTTTAGGTTGGTGTGCATGTTTGGTTTGGAGCCCCGAGGGCTCGGGTGAGTTTTGAATAGGCCACGGGGTGAATTTTTGGACTTATGGAATTGCAAGCTTCAGCTATTTCTGTGCAGGCCTGCAGGCTTCGCATTTGGATAGCAAATGCGAGGGCTTTGTCGCAATTGCGAAAGTAGCCCAGGCCAGCTCTCTCTCACAAATGCGAGAACGCCCTCGCAAATGCGATGCACCCTTTTTGGGCCTGTTATCGCAAATACGATCAATTGTTCGCATTTCCCATCTCGTAAATGCGAGAACCCATTCGCAATTCCCAACATAGCAGAGGTCGGGGTTCGCAATTGCGAACAGGACCTGCAACCTGCAATTTTTATACTTAGCCGAAAATCAACCATTTTTTACATCTCTTCAAAACACAAACTCCCTAGGGCGATTTTTCAAGAACAACTCTTCTTCCAAATCGATTGTAAGTCCATTTTAACTCGTTTTCTTCAATCATTTTTTCACATAATTTCAACTCAAATCAATGATTTTCATGGGGGAAATTGAGTGTTTTGGGTAGAACCTAGGTTTTTTAAAAATTGGGGATTTGAACCTCGATTTGAGATCCGATTTTAAAACAAATTATATATTTGGGTTCGTGGGGGAATGGGTAATCAGGTTTTGGTTCGAACCTCAGGTTTTGACCATGTGGACCCGGGGGCGATTTTTGACTTTTTGGGTAAAACTTTGGAAAAGTTATTTTCATGCATTAGAATTGATTCATTTAGCGTTTATTGATGTAATTAAGTAACTTGTGTCTAGATACGAGCGAATTGGTTGTGGAATCAAGAGGTAAAGAGATAGTAGAGACTTGAATTGTGTTCGTGGCATCGAGGTAAGTGTTTGGTCTAACCTTAGTTTGAGGGATTAGGAGTCGTGTCTTATTTGCTACGTGTTAATTGTGAAGTACGATGTATAGGCATGGTGACGAGTATCTATACGTCGGTGTCAAGCACGCCCGTGAGTCTTGTATTGTAATTGTTATGACTCCGTTGTGGTTTATTACGCTTCACATGTTATTATCATTACTGTTCCCTTGCCGGGATGTTATTATCATTATTGTTCCCTTGCCGGGATATTATCATCATTATTGTTCCTTTGCCGTGATGTTATTATCATATTATTGTTCCCTTGCCGGGATGTTTCTTTTGATATTATTGTTCCCTTGCCGGGACCTTTTTGTGATTGGTGTTGATAAAGGAAATGGAAGCGGATTGCACGCCTGCAACAAGATATATGGAATGGGAGCGGGTTGCACGCCTGCAACAAGATATGTGAAATGGGAGCGGGTTTCACGCCTGCAACAAGATATGTGAAATGGGAGCGGTTGTACGCCTGTAACGAGATATATGAAATGAAATCTGGTTGCACGCCTGCAACGAGATATATGAAATGAAATCTGGTTGCACGCCTGCAACGAGATATATGAAATGGGATCGGGTTGCTCGCCTGCAACGAGTTATATGAAATGGGATCGGGTTTTACGCTTGCTACGAGATATATGAAATGGGATCGGGTTGCTCGCCTGCAACGAGTTATATGAAATGGGATCGGGTTTTACGCTTGCTACGAGATATATGAAATGGGATCGGGTTGCACGCCTGCAACAAGATTTGAAATGAAAGTGAATTCTGCATTTATTTTCCTTATCTTTGTTAGTAATTAGATTTTGGTTTCTTTATATTCTCTTGATATTTTGTTGTTATATGTTTTTTCCCGAAGCATGCTTCCCCTGCCCAAATTTTAACTGTAATTACCTGCTTTTATATTTCCGCTGTATATGATTTAACTGCACAGGTTTATTTGGTGGTTTGGTCCTAGCCTCGTCACTACTTTGCTGAGGTTAGGCTAGGCACTTACCAGCACATGTAGTTGGTTGTGCTGATACTACACTCTGCACTCTTTTGTGTAGATCCCAGTGTTGTAGACTTCGAACCACAGTAAGGTTGCTGCCTTTAGTCCAACAGGCGACCCGAGGTAGTCCTGCAGGCGTCCTCGAGCCTTGGCGTCACTTCCTATCTTTCTTTTATCCTGTTTCCTTTACTTATTTCAGAAACAATGTATCTTTATCTTTCAGACGTTGTATGTAGTATTCTTAGACCATCTGTGAAACTGTGACACTGAATTCTAGGTAGAGTTGCATTTAGACTTCCGTAGTTTGTATTAAGATAAATTTTCAGATTTTGTCTTCCGCTTAATTATTTCCGCTATTTGCATGATATCTACTCATCACTGATAATGGTTTAAAACTAGAAAAGGTTAAGTAATTAGAATAATTTGGCTTGCCTAGCTTTCACCAGTATGCGCCATCACGACTCTCGAGGGTGGGAAATCCGGGTTGTGACAAGTTGGTATCAAAGCTCTAGGTTACATGGGTCTCACAGTTCACAGACAAGCTTAGTAGAGTCTGAGAGATCAGTACAGAGACGTCTGTATTTATCCCAGAGGCTACAGAGTTAGGAAAAACTTCACTTCTATTCTTCTCTGTCATGCGGTTTTTGTTCTATTAAGGTTAAATTGAAACCTCTATTCTTGTCCTTTCGCAAATGGCAAAGTCACGTACCGCTTCTTCAGCCGAGCAACAGCACAGATCGGTGATAGGTCAGCTACATCTTCGGAGGCTTTATGGAGGTTGGATATGTTTCACCAAGCTCTTCACTACTACCTTCAGCGGTGCATCTTCGGAGGATCCCCAGGATTATCTAGACAGTTGTCATGAGGTTCTTAGGAACATAGGGATAGTGGAGACCAATGGGGTCTACTTTGCTACTTTTTGCTTATCTGGATCCGCCAAGACTTGGTGGAAGGATTATTGTTTGGCTAGACCAGTTGGGTCACCAGCTTTGACTTGGGATCAGTTTCCTCAGCTGTTTTTGGAGAAATTTCTTCCTGTCACTCAAAGAGAGATCTATTGGAGGCAGTTTGAGCGTCTCCATCAGGGTTCTATGACTGTTACTCAGACGAGACCAGGTTTATTGGTTTGGCCTGTCATGCTCTACTTATACTTCCATTGAGATAGTGAGAGAGTGAGAAGGTTCCTTGAGGGGCTCATTTAGCCTATTCGACTTCAGATGGCTAAGGAGGCGGGGAGTGAGATTTCTTTTCAGGAGGCGGCCAATGTGGCCAGGAGAGTTGAGATGGTTCTATCACAGGGAGGTGGTCAGGTGTCTGACAAGAGGCCTCGTCATTCAGGCAGATTCAGTGGTACCTCATCTGGAGGCAGGGATTCGTATGGTAGAGGCCATCCTCCTAGGCCTTTTCAGTCAGCACTTCAGGTTTCTCATGGTGCTTCAGGTGGTCGTTGTTCTCATATGTAGTATTCCGATCAGCAGACCTATAGTGCACCACCAGCTCCTATCAGTGCATCGCCATTTCAGAGTTTTTAGGGTCGTTAGCCCCTGCATCCGAAGGCTTGTTTTACTTGTGGCAACACGAGGCACATTGCTAGATATTGCCCTCGAGCACCGAGAAGTTCTCAGCAGCAGGGTTCCCGTGCCATGTTTTAGGCACCGAGTGTTCCACAGCCCGCCCAACCAGCTAGAGGTGGGTTTAGAGGTGCTAGAGGTGGAGGTAGAGGTATTAGAGGTGGAGCTCAGGATGATAGAGGTGGAGGCCAGCCAGCAACAGGCCGTCCTAGAGATGTAGTTCAGGGTGGTGGGGCCCAGCCCTGATGTTATGCTCTTCTAGCCAAGCCCGAGGCTGAGGCTTCCGATGTAGTTATCACAGGTCATGTTCTGGTTTGTAACAGAGATGCTTCAGTTTTATTTGATCTAGGATCTACATACTCCTATTTGTCATCTTATTTTGCACTGTATCTGGTCATGCCTAGTGATTCTTTGAGTGCTCCCGTTTATGTGTCTACACCGGTGGGTGATTCTATTGCGTTAAATCAAGTTCATCGTTCATGTATAGTTGTGATTGGGGATCCTGAGACTCGTGTAGATTTGCTTCTGCTGGAAATGGTTGATTTTGATGTCATATCGGGGATGAACTGGTTATCACCTTACCACGCTATCTTGGGTTGTCATGCCAAGATGGCGACCTTAGCCCTGCCAGGTTTACCACGTTTAGAGTGGAGAGGAACTCTTGGTCATTCTACCTATAGTGTTATCTCTTATGTGAAGGCTCGGCGTATGGTCGAGAAGGGGTGTTTGGCCTATTTGGCATATGTTCGTGATTCTAGTGCCGAGGTTCCTTCTATTGATTCTGTGCCTGTTGTTCGTAAGTTCCCTGAGGTATTCCCTTTAGACCTGCCGAGTATGCCACCCGACAGGGATATCGACTTCTGCATTGATTTGGCTCTAGGCACTTAGCCCATTTCTATCCCGTCGTATCGTATGGCCCCGCCTGAGTTGA